GGCACGTTACATGGGGTGGGGTCAATAATCTGCAAAAAATTGCGTGACGTAATACTTGAACGCTCCCTAAGCTGTGATTTGACCTTCCTCAGTGTTGGGAGTCCCACGTTCAAGCCACAAGGCGAACAGTGCTCTAAACACATACAATATGAAATAACTAGAAAATAGTAACGGTAACACAATTTTTAAAAATAAATCGCATAATAAGTACTTGGAATATACCTTATCGTTTTTTACCGGGTTCGGTTGGTGTAGGGATACACGCCGTTCCTATTAAGACAATAGAATTTGGTGGTAAGTAGTTTCAACACCACTTCTGTGGCGTATTAATATTAAAATGCAAGTAGATCCCCCACCTCATAGACACCCGAAAACCCTAACCCTATTTACGCCAATGCATGTGTCAGCCCATGGTAATGATAATGTGTGTAGGTACGCCATTAGAGGAATTTATACAAATCTTAAATATATAGCCATATTATTTTGAAGTCTTTTCGCCGGCTGCCGCATTTACTACGGGAATGTTGACCAAAGAAGGTTTGACTTTCTTCGTTCTGATTATTGCTTTACTTATTAGCAAAACCTATCATAGGAATCCTGATAACTAAGTTTTGCGAAATGCGAGCACTATTCTTAATTCAAGAAAAAGTAGAAAAAATATGTTTATTATAGCGACACCTATTTGTATTCTTTTGAACTATGATAATAACTTCGCAAACACTTTTTTCATTAAAAATCAACTTTTTATAAACAATTCAACAATATAAGCTTTTTGAGTCTTAAACTAAGGAGAGGAAAAATTAAATAGCTTTAAAATTCTAGTGAACCAGTACTTACTATGTACTATCTAGCTATGGTCAACTGTCAACATTATATTTTTTTTTTTTTAATGGCTCGCACGGTTTGTGCATTGTGGCCCAGGGTCAAAAACAAGGAAACGGGTAAAAACATAAAATTATCGACTGGAAAGGAATTTAGGAATAGAAAATAATTAAACTATAAAATAAAAGATCAATTCTTATAAATCTACATACAAAAGGAGTGTAAGAAAACATATTTACGTTCATATTGTCTAAATTTTTATATTATTACTTAAGATAAAAGCTGCGAAAAGTTTATATACATATGGGTTGTAAAGTTGAAAGTAAACTTAAGGATGAAGGGAACGGAATTTGAAGGGAAATGAGACCTTGAGAAGAGCCGACCGTCGCGCCGAGGACAAACAAACATTATGTATTTAAATCACCTAATCATATCCGCATTAAATTTTGACGTAAAAATATTTACATTAGAGAGAAAAATAAATAGACACTATACAAATGTTATTTACAATAGCAGCAATGACTGATAAGTCATCTCCGAATGAGGGAAGTGAAAATAAGGAATAGGGGAGATAATTTTTAATACTTGGCAACACCACCATAGCCGTCAGGTCTGTCTGTCGGAGAATAACATACCTAACCTGGAATTCGAAAAGTCAATTCCGGGCGAAGCCATTTTCCGACAGAGTTGAGACAAATGGTTCAAATTTATTAGATGGATAAATCATTTTATTGCAGATAGCTTTGCAATTCCACTGATTATTTGTTCGTGACGCTGGGATTTTAATTTAGTTGGAAGCAATTTTGGCGACGTTTTATTAGTTGTTGTAGAGTTAGAATTGGATTTAATTAAGTAAAACTTGGATTAAATCAGAGATTATTCCTTATTGTTAACGTTATGTTTATTAAAGCGTGTAGTCCTTTATCAATGAAGTAGAACCCCCAGGGGGGATATTGGTTTAGAAATATTTTTTCTTATAAGATCTACTATCCGAGGAATGAGGGAGAGGAAGGCATAATGGAAGGAGAATTAGGAGTATTCTGATTGAAAACTTAACTATATCAGAAAGATTTTGAAACTGATCATACACTTTATTTGCTTTGCGTAAGATAAATTTCTGAGCCATATACAATTTAATTTTATCTGCCGTTCAATTCTGGACACTTTCTGTTTGTAGAAAGTGTAGACCAGAATATAGACAGAAGACGGGCATATCTTGTATTTGGTGTGCATGGCCAACTTGTAACAGCGGGCCGAGATTAAATTAGACTTAGTATGACCAAATCGGAAAAGAATAGACTGAATAGTTGGATATGCAGTTCACGGGAGGGCATTGTAGCAGACAAATACATTTTAGGTAGTGACATGAAAGTTATTAAAAGTCTGTATGGTTCCACTAGGAGGGCTGTGTAGTACTTTAAATTTAGTCTAATTTTTATAATTCCTCCGCTACCTCAGGAGAAATTTTAATTGGGGACCATTGGGGAACGCCTCGCACCAGGCCAATTCGGGTCACATTAAATGAGGAATAAAAGCTTTGTAATTATTTCTTGCAGGCAAGGTTATTAATAAATTCGTTTGCAATTTGTGGTTGAGAATGATAGGGAAATTCGGTTTCTGCTATCCTTTTGATGTACCATTAATTATGTTTTTAAAAGAATTTTTCTTGAGGAAATACCAAAGTGAGGGGTGTAGGAGGAGATGTCCGTATCTGAAGAAACTTTTTGGATGAACTACGAAGTCTAGTCTCATAAAACGTTCGGCTAAGGATTTTTATGGACTGAGAAACATCTGATGTGTGATGGTGTTTGGGTATAAGTTGTAGATTACACGGTCTATGTTTGAAAACTATAGAGCATTAGGTTAGCAGTAAAGAGGGAATTTAATTTGATGGAGAACAATAGTTCCTTGTTTGTTACGTCGGATCGAATATTTTCCTTTGTGAGTGTTGAAATTTACTAGTCGTCTGTATCATCACATCTGTATTACTGATGTATTTAGAAAATCTATTTTCTATTATAATATAAGTTGCCCCATATCTTGTCCATTTTTTCGCCTGACTAGGCCTTGAGGAAAAAGTATACAAACTTACCAGATATGAAGAATATATACTCAAATGAATAAACTAAACTATTTAATTAAATTACTACATACAAATATCGACGTAGGAAAGCATATTTGCTGTAAGTAGACAAAATACCTAAAGTGACTTTTTACTGCCATTAGAATCAGAAAAAACCGCATGAATCTGGTCTGTGTCTCTACGATGAAAAAAATTACATACGCGGTTGAAAACGCCCGTACTTATATTTTTTTAGTAAGATTAAATGCTGTATGTAGACCAAAATCCAGTCATTTTAGACAATTTGTACTTACAGCAAAAAGAAAATCTGCATTTTTACTTTACAAATACTTACTTCTTCCCATTTAAAAACTTAAGCTACTTACAGGATTTCTGCGGCGTGTGATTTTTACATTCGTTTACTTACAGCAAGCTTAGGGAACCTAAGTTTTATTTTTTTTACCATTTACGACATGTTATTACAACCAAACATTACATTAACAAATGACCCACTGATTTCTAGATCTAATCATAATTATAAACTAATCTTACATCTTGAATTGCAATTGAAAGTACCCAAATACATAAATTTACTGCATACAGATATTTACCGGCTGTAAATTGATAATATTTCCGGGTACATTTTTCTTCCTTAGTTACAGGTTTTAAAGGTTTGTGATATAAAAAACTGTATGCTGTAACTAGCCAAACACGTACTTATAGTAACTTTGATAAAAAGTTTACATTGCAAATGGTACTGGCAGTTAAATAAATATATGTTACAAAAATGGTAGAATATATGGATAGTTTCGACACTATTAATTTTTTTCGAAATTATTTAAGTTTTTTGGCTCTGTGAACAATTGCAATATGTTACTTACAGCAAATATGCTTTCCTACGTGATATATAAAACTGATTTTTATACAAGTAAAATTAAATTTAAAATTTAAAGAATAAATGCACAACATTATAATCTACATAAATTAAATGCTCTTATTAGTATTGCCAATATTTTTCCCCTAATAATACCCAAAAAATGTGTTTAAAATAATATTAAATTTCTTGTTTTTTTTTATTTTATTCTTATATCTTTTCGTGATAACAGACTTTGTAATTTAGAGAAACCAATATTGAATAGCAAATGTTGTATTTTTCTTTTAAGTTCCCAAAGAGGTTTATTAAAAAAAGAAGCTGTTATTTTAAATGGGCTATTTGACAAAATTTTAAAAACCATTTCAGATTATTTATTAGTGACTTTAGAACCGATACATACTGTCATTTTTAATTATGTTAAGGCTTTAAAAAAAAAATTTAAAAACCCGCCAAAACGCTATGACGTATCTGCCTGTAATGACGCAAAAAGATTTTTACGTGCTTATTTATCATTCTTAAATAATGCAAATACACATATATTGAATTTCAATCAAAAACAGTCTTCGATAAATTATACTCCAAGGCAGGTGTTATTATTTACAAGTATTCTACGTTATCGTCGATTCCACGGATCTGTGACCATTTTGTATCATGTGATTGACGTATGAATTTTTTTTAAATAATTTATTAATATTTACAAGTTATTTTACTCTATAACTATTTTTACAGCCATTTTTTTTACAAATTATTTATTCTCAAATATATCACTTTTTCATCCTGTCAAATAGTAATGATGTTTTTAATTTATTACAAAAAATTAGTTGATTTCTCATTATTAAACCGTATTTTTTTATAAAGAAAATATATTTCTGTTATATGTACATATATTTGGGTAGCCCCTATTAAAAATTTACGTTACTTTGGGAGTTGGGAGTCCTAAGTCACGAATGACGAAACTGGCAACATTCATTCCGTATGTCTTTTTGATTTGATTCTTTGCCGTGTCGTTTCGGGTAGGTTTTAAATCTCTTTAAATCGTCTATTTTGTTAAGTTTTATAACATTCATATTTTATTTTTCCAAAATATATTGATCTAAAAGCTTATAGCCATGACTATTTTAGCTAAATACGTAAATAGTGTACCAAATAAACATTGTCGGAGTTTGACATCAATCATGCACAATCGGTAACCTATTGTTAGTGTTAAAACGTGTAACTTGGATTTCAGCGAAGACTGCCAGTATGAAGTTCAATAAACTGGTTACGTCCTCCAGAAGGAAAAACAGGAAGAGGCATTTCAGCGCACCTTCCCACATTCGAAGAGTTCTTATGTCCTCACCTCTGTCGAAGGAACTTAGACAGAAGTTCAATGTGAAGTCAATGCCCATCCGTAAAGACGACGAAGTACAGGTGAATATCTGTATTTAATATATTAATGTAGTCAGACTTTTTTTTATGTCAAAAGTTATTAATGTGCTGCTTATAACTAGCATGTGGTGACTGCGTTTCTTATTAGTCGCATTTATCTTGCTAGTTTGTGAGCAGTTATTGTATTATATATGACATTTATTGTACACGTGCCTCTAACAAATAAATGCAAAACAAAATGATGATGACAAACCATTCTTAGACCACAGTTGTTTGTTGTAACTGACTTGGTAGACTTGAGGTTTTCTCTAGTTAACCTTGGAGGTTATGGCTAATCTGTGCCATGGTGTATAAATGGCTCTGATTGTTTTGCTATAACAGAACTGTTCATAATAAAACTTAATAATGTCTTAACTTAACTTAATTAGGTATTCATTGCAATATTGGTATATACAAGTCTTACTCAGCTTTTCTGCTTTAGTAAAACAGATTTAGTGATATTCATATATAACGCTTTGTTGAACCCTTTTAGTTTAAATAATATGTAGGCCCTTGATTTCATTACCTTGTAAGGCTTGTGGTTGTATGAAATTATCTAAATATTTCATTTTATAAGAGAATTACAATATTTCCCTATAATATATTGCACTTGATGTTATAAATTACTCATTACACTTGTGAAATTATTTAAGCTTTCAGAAGAACAATTTAATATTTTAGTAATTGTTGAACAAGAGCTTAATATATCTTACCCTAACATGCTTCGTATGATTCTTATAATCATTTTATATGTAGAAAAAATACTGTGGTAAAAACATGATTGGCCAAACTCTTATTACATTTAAATAACTACCTTATGTTCTAGCTTCTTTTACTATTGAATTATCTTAATAAACATTGAAATAGTTCAGTTAGGTTAGTATACATGAATATTACCTTTCACGCTGAGTATTTGCTGTTGATAATTTAAAAATAGTTACTTCCTTGGTGACAGGTTGTACGTGGTCACTATAAAGGACAACAAGTTGGCAAAGTAGTGCAGGTGTACAGAAAGAAGTTTGTTGTATACATTGAGAGGATTCAGAGAGAAAAAGCCAATGGAGCCAGTGTATATGTCGGCATTCACCCTTCAAAGGTTTGTTTTCTAGTTGAATTTAAATTGCTAGCTAATAAGGTTATACCTTAATGCAACAGAAATTTGTGGCATAATTCAAAATTATTTATGTAACAATATACTTTCTTTCACTTAGCTTCATACATCTAATTTAAGTGATGATAAATTTTATACAAAAGCATTTTCTTTGACACACATGTGAAAACATATGTGCAATGATTATGTGACTGCTGAGACACTTCCATGGCTCTGATAAATTAAATTATCATTTAATTACATTGAAATATGGTTGAACTATTATAACAATTTTCATGTTTGGTTTCAGTGTGTTATCGTTAAACTGAAAATGAACAAAGATCGTAAGTCCATCTTAGACCGTAGAGCGAAGGGCAGATTGGCGGCACTTGGCAAAGACAAGGGCAAATACACTGAGGAGACTGCAACAGCAGTTGAGACCTCGTAAACATAGTTTTAAGAACAATAAAAATATTAAAACAATACTGCTTTTTTTTAGACTCTGAATTAAGTAGAAAGGAGGAAGGATCTTTAAATATATTTTGCTATTTAAACATTGTAACTACATAAAACCACACGCTGGATGTTGTCCCAACTCTTATTGTTTAATTGAGCTAGTTTATGCTTTATTTTGAATTGTTAGTAAAGTGGGAAAGCGAGCTGGCGGGTGCGAGTGCCAGTAAATATACTACCGAAGCCCTCTGACCTTTGCTTCAACTTTGAGTAAAGAGGCGCTGGGGTCACCTCAGCTATCGACTTGTGCAGATGCTGTCCGGACACGGATGTTTTGGCAGTTATCTGCACAAAGTAGTAGGGTGTGAGGAGGCACCAACCTGTCACCACTGTGTTGGAGACAGCCGGGACGACGCCCTGCATACGCTGAGGGACTGCCCAGCATGGGAAGCGGAAAGGAGACCTTTGCTAGATGCACTCCAGGGCGAGCAAATACTGCCAAACGTTTAAGCCATATTGAGCGCAGGAAATGACGGCTCGTGGAAAATTTCAATTTCTGCGAGTCGGTCATGAAAGTCAAAGAAGAAGCGGAAAGAACCAGGGAGCTTTGTTCCGAAACCCATCCGCGACGGCGAAAGAAACCGCAGGCCTGTCAAATCCTCGCCACCTAAAGAGTGCCCAAGCGGGGAAGCAGGGGTCCACGCGTTCAAAAGATTGGATGGTGATCCATCCCTGCTTGCACTGGACCTGATCTCCCCTAGCTATTCCTAAAAGCGTATGGCCCGATCTGTGAAGGATACTTGCTGTGTCAAGTATCTTCACAAATCAACAATGGGCGGGGAGAGGCGGACTCAACCGCCGCATCGCATGTCGGGAAACGGATAAGGCTCTGCTGTTACCGCATCCCACCTAAGGCGATTGTTGGTGGCGCCTTGGGGTTTAAGTGGGTATGCACAATCGCTAGTCCCACATAACCCTTCCGCACTAAGCAGTCGCACCGCGGTAGGGTATGCGCAATGCAAGTAAAAAAAAATGCTTTATTTGACAAACTTCAAGTTGATTACACTAAGATGGCATAGTAACATGCTAACAGCTTACTACATAATTAAATTACGTTAAGTTAAATATTGAAATACCCACATTTTTTTAAATCCTGGTCCTAGAATTTATTACGGTCGAAAAGAGAAGACAGTTATTTCGATTAATTGTGTTAAGAAATTTTAAGCTAAACTATTTCTTATCATTTATATTGATTCCCATTACAATATAAACTTGCAAAAGAAACGGGCACCTAAAGCGCAATACACACTGAGCCCGCCGGGTCGCCAACAAGTCCGGCGACACAACCCGGCGGCCTGTATGAAAAGAATCATGTCGGCAACATGGGCCGCCGACCAAATTTTCCGACTTGTAATAAGTGAAGCCGCCGACAAAAAGTTGCCAAAATATGTCGGCGGGCTCAATGTGTATTGCGCTTAAGGTCGACTTCATTTAATAAAATGGAATTGTCTGTATAGTGTATACTTATAGTAGTGGTGCTGAATGCATATATAAATTTTATATTGTATAACTGGGAAAATATAAAGGTTGTAATTTACATACAGCGTAATGCATGATTTAAGCCGATCGTCCACTGCCAGCTAAACTAATAAAGAACTAAGCTCAGCTTAACTAGAACTACGTTGTCCTTCCACCAATAAATAAGCTAAAACTACGTTAGTGAAGGCCAGTTGGTGCTAGAACGTCAAGTTAACCGGACGTGATATGGGAGACGACACGAGCAATGACGAGACTTTAGAGGAGGACTATCGTCTTAGGAGAAGAAGATTGATTATTGCTTATTTTATGAAGAAAAAACGAAAACATAGATACTGGATAAGTCAACACATTCAGTCCTGGAAAACAAGCAGCGAATTTAACACTTTGTTTAATGAACTTGACGACGAAAATTCTAAGCCGGATGCAGACCGAAAACTAAGCTAGCCAAGCAAGCTAGGCTAAGCTAAGCTAGAAATAAAATAGCGTGCACACCAACACTAACCCAAAGCTCAGTCAGTGTTGCATAGTATGTGCAAAGGGTGTGGGTAGGAGGGGCTTAGCTTAGCTGTGTAGCTGCGCATCGGCATACACAACTAACTTAGCTTCGCATATTTTAGTTAGCTCACATAGCTTAGTTCGCATAGTTTGGGTCTGCACAGACGTATGGAAAATTGCGTAAGAGAAAAACTAAGTAAGATAGATGTACTTAGTTTAGCTCCAGTTAGTTACGGATCGGCCGCACAACTAAGTTAGTTCCACTTAGCTGGGGCATTTCACGTAGCTTAGCTGGCATAGTTTGCGGTGGACGCACATGTATAAAATCTGACTCAACTAAGCGAGCTAAGCTAAACTAACTTAGTTTAGCTGGCAGTGGACGATCGGCTTAAAGCCGGTTGCAGACCGAAAACTAAGCTATGCCAAGCAAGCTAGGCTAACTAAGTAGAAATAAATAGCGTGCACACCAACAGCTAACCCAAACTCAGTCAGTGTTCATACTATGTGCAAAGGGTGTGGGGGAAGGGGAGGGGCTTAGTTAGCTGTGTAGTGGATCGGATAACAACTAACTTATTGATATTTTAGTTAGCTCAATAGCTTAGTTGATAGTTTGGGTTGCACAGACGTATGGAAAATTGTAGTATGGAGTAAGCTAAACTAAGTAGAGTGTGGGTATTAGACTTTTGAGAAGCAATGGTCCACAAATATAAACCAGAACCTACCACTCAAACTTCATTTTCCCCTCGGACGTTTGGGTTGGAAAAGTTACCAGGGCGTAATATACGGTGTGCAGCAGCAACAAATAATGAGAAGAGGAGCAACCTAATTTGGGCTCGCTATATGCTGTAAGGGACTCCATGGAGTCTGTAAAGAACTTTTTTACTTTTATATTCCAGCTTTTGTTGTAATTTTTGTTCACAATATGAATATTTATTACTCTCGTCATATTTTATTACCATTGCTACAAGTTTCTATAAATAAAACACAGCAAATATGATAAGAATTGGACAATTAATTGAAGAGATACAGATTTTTTTGTTCGAGCAACAAGATGCTCACGGAGTAATTTAGGTCTTCGGGCCGGGCGGTAACTCCTGATATTGGCAGCCAAAATCCTCCTCCTGATCGTCCACAAGCTAGTTCGCTTTAGTACCTTTAGTTAGTAGAGTAGAAGTTTCTACTCTTCTTACTTCTTCAAGGGTCTGCTTCAGGTCCACACTTGACGCCTGACTCACCGCAAAGCGGTCATCTCTTGGTTCTGTGCATCGTTTTCTTCCCGAACCGAGTCATCTTTTGACCAAATCAGTCTCGCGACACTGTTTCCAAATTCTTTGGACAGTTGAACGACTCACAAATAGTCGCCGAGACACGCAAGTTTGCCAACAACCTACTTAAAGTAGGGCTATAATTTTACCGGTCCTTATCGCTTTATCAGTAAAGGCCGATTTACATTATCTTAGTGTTTAGGAGAGTGCTTGAGGATAGTACTTTAGTTGAAACATGTAAACTCTACTTGCTTTAGTACGGTTCTACTTGACTTTCAAGTTGAATCAAAATAGAATCGCTTTTTATATTTGTTTCAAGTGATACCGCGCCCGCGCAACCCCCGAGATCTTCCCTCGTTGTGTGTAAACACGTAATTTAGTACAATCTTTAGGAGAGTGCACAAGTGCCGTGAAAGGTGCGTGTTTTTTGATTTTTAAAGATGGCTAAATGGTCGGAAGATACAACTATCAAATTTGTGTCTAAATATATTGTTCACGAATGTTTGCGGAACGTTAAAAACAAACACGCTAGGCATTCGACATACACTGCCTTAAAAGAAGCTATTTTATTTATTATTCATATTTAGTTTATTTATTTCGAATAAAATCTCGTCTTCTATTTGTTCCATAACTACAGTTAGTATTTTGCGTAGAATAGAGCGTATTTGAGTGTGGGTTATTGTGGGTGTAATGAATAATGATACTCTATGGAAGAAATATAAACGTTCACTCGCAACGCACTAAAGCACCAAAGAACTTGCCTTTCAACTTGTACTAAAATACTCTCCTAAACACTAATATAGCAATGATCACACTCGTTATTAGGTTTTACATATTTTGTAACTTTATTAAATTTAAAAAAGTAAAAAATCTTGTTTCTATTGTTTGGCTGTATACATCGGTTTTAAAGAATTCATCAAAAACTAATAATAAAATAATTCTAGAATCATACGTATAGGTATAACATTTTTTTTAAAGAATTCTCAAAGACTGCACTAAGCTATTGTTATTTCTTATATTATATTAAAAATGTCTTACTAATTAGTATGATTTTAATTTGCCCAACATTGTATGGCAGCCGAAAGCATGCACTAGTTTCCGGTACGCCGATGAGCTGCCCGATCGAATAGAAGGCGCAAAGCCTTGCGAAATTCCAGGCATAAAGGTCCACAAACTGCGATTTTACCAAATTATGACTGTCATGTAACATGACTCATGTTATAAATTATTGTCATTTTTTTTTTTTGGACTAAAACTGCCACACTGCCATCAGTTCTTAAAACCCAAAACCGCCAACCCCACCCAAAAAAAATTCAACTCTTCAGACCCTGGACTTGCCAGATTCTTCCTCTACTCGGTTTTGAAATCTATACGAAATCGTCAAAAATACCTCCATCAAATTGATTGATTGATGTTAACTTATCGTACCTGCCTGAAATTTTAAGTTTAAACATATGCATTAAGTAATTAAAAAGCTTTCTTTGTGTAAAGAATTAAAAAATACATCTGCTCAACTTGGTGATTTACATTACTTTGCGTAAAGTAAGCCCAAGTTGGCTTCGAGCGTTCTGAATACAAATATCAACGTAAGTGATGGATTTTAAAATACGGGAGTCATAGTGCTAAGTCTCGTTTCTGAATCTCAACCTTAAGGCCTTATCGTTAAGTAAGTCTTAAGCTGCGTATAAATTAAGCGCGGCAGCCCGGAGCCAATGTTCGACCAGAGTTGACCTTCATTTGCCGCGCGAGCCAATATGTGATTCACCATCTTATTTGTAAAAAAATAAAAAGAAAAAATAAATATAATTATTTATTTAATTTTTCAAATGTAAACTGAACTTTATTGACTATAATGACTCCTTTTCCAGTCTTTGATTATTTAATTGTAATTAATTATTTGCATGTAATCAAAAACTATTTTTAATAATGCCAGAGAAGTATAACTTCTTACGCGCGTACATAAGTACACGCACCCGTTTATAACCGTCCCACTGCGCGCGAGCCAACGACTGAAGCTCCTTTGATGCGGTCTCAAAACCGACAGGAGCGGATCGACCCGCGGCACGTTCGAGCGCGGCAATGTTCGATGGTTTGCCGCGCTTAATGTATACGCAGCTTTACGCATGTCAAAAACATATTGGGCTTTGGCATACATAAATAAATTATCTGTGCGTATAACAAACAGACTATGATAATTAATTGTACTTGTAATCTGTTTCTTCTAAAGTGCCGTATTCGATTTCGGAACATAAAGCTAATATAACCTAAAAAATAATTATACTCTAAGCTATTTAGGTTATTATGAATGTTATTATTAAATCTCCTGTGTCTGTGTACGTTTAGTAAGCAACGGTAAATCATTTTCGTTTTATATTTTAATTTTGTTCTGTTGTATAAGAAGCCTTATTAGCTATAAATACAGTATGGACTTACCAGTTTCGGCGTTTGCAGTCTACAATTCTAACAAAACTAAAAGGAAAAAAAAATCTAAATCGAAAAGCAAACACCCATTACCATCAAAATGTAATACAACTATCAACGACAATATTATGGTAAAAATAAGTGCAAAACTTAATAAAAAACAGACAAAAGAGTCAAAGAAAAAACTAAAAAATAAAGCTAAGAAAAAAATATTTAAACAACTTAAAAGAAATTCTCAATTTAATGGCAAAAAGAAACTTGAAACACTGCAAATTTCTGATAGTGATGATATTCCTGATCTTATACCTGGACCAATTGAAGATGTTATCAATGGTTTGGAATCAAGCACTGCTGAGTTAGATGAATGTTCAAATGTAAGCAATGCAAGTTTTGAGTTTATGCCAGTTCATACTGATAGCTCAGAAGAAGCCATTAAAATATTTAAATGGATGATTGCACCTTACAATGTTGAAGAATTTCTTAATCAAATATGGGAAAAGAAACCTTTACATATTGCCAGAGAAAAACCGTTGTATTACAAAGAATTGATATCCACACCCATTATAGATACTATGCTAAGAAATGAAAATATTCAATTTACTAAAAACATTGATATTACATCATATGTTGATGGTAAAAGAGAAACACACAACCCAGAAGGAAGAGCTCATCCTCATTTAGTATGGGATTTCTACTTGAATGGGTGTAGTATTCGATTATTAAATCCTCAAACTTATATCTCACACCTTCATTTACTCAATGCAACTTTGCAGGAGTACTTTCACTCATTTGTTGGAGCTAATGCATACTTAACTCCTCCTGATAGTCAGGGTTTTGCACCACATTATGATGACATTGAAGCTTTTATTTTACAAACTGAGGGGAAAAAACATTGGCGAATCTATAAACCTAGGGCTGATAATGAATTTTTACCAAGAGTTTCCTCTAGGAACTTCACAGATGATGAGATTGGTGAACCTATTATGGAAGTAACTTTAGAAGCTGGTGATATGCTCTATTTTCCTAGAGGATATATCCACCAAGGAGTAACTATAGATGGGCAACATTCTCTTCATGTTACAATAAGCATGTACCAAAAGCATTCTTGGGCAGATTTGTTTGAAAAGATGTTACCAGCGGCATTACAACTAGCTGTTAATGATAATGTAGAACTAAGATATGGACTACCATTTGATATTTATGATAATTTTGGCTTAGTCCATTCAGATTGTGACACACCACGTAAGAAAGAAATAAAAGATATAATTTTTAGTTTATTTGATAAGTTGAAATCACATTTGCCTTTAGATGAAGCTGTTGATCAAATGGCTAAACATTATCAACGAGACGCCTTGCCACCTGTAATTACAGATTTAGAGAAAGCAGTTACTGTGTATGGTGATACTGATGTTATGGTGGATGATGGAAAAGTTATAAATAGGGTTGAAATAAGTCTTGATACAAAAATAAGGCTTCTTAGAAAAAATATAATAAGAATGGTGTCAGAAGAGAGTATCAGATTGTACTATTATGTTGAAAACTCCTTAGAGTATCATGGGAGTGAATTACCATTTTTAGAAATAGAAGAAGACATGGCACCTGGCATTGAGACACTTATAACTTCATACCCAGAGTATATTACAGTGGAAAATCTAGATTTACAAAATGATACAGACAAACTGCAGATTGCTGATGCATTATGGAGTAGGGGCCTGATAATGACAGAATGTCCTTTAGAAAATATTGATGATGAATAAACATTGTACAATTAAATATTTATTTATTACTTTTCACTTACCTTTTCATTACTTATGTAAGAATTTTGAATATGCACCTTCTAAGTTATCTATTAAAATTAGGCATTGCCCTATGAGTTGTAAGAAGCTCTGCAAAGCCTTATTACAACTTAATACCCCCTTATTGGCTACTATTATGCCCTGATTCAAAACCATACCTTGGTAATAAAGTACATATGGGCTTGCTTGGAAAACAAGAAAAAAAACTTGGCTGTTTAAACCATTTGTATTGTAA